TGCATAACGCCAAAATTTCTCGACGATTATATAAAAATGACCACTCATTTGCCGCCTACGGTAGCGTGTACATGGTAGTGCGATCATATCGTGCCAAAGTCAGTGTCAAACGTCAGAAAATCCCCGTAAAAATATAGTTGCAAAACACATTTCCCGCGCACTCAGGGCCGGTCGCCCTGGCCGCGGCCGCCCTGTGTGCAGCATGCTCATTATAATATGCAAGTAGCTACGCTCTGATTGGTTCACCTTAGATGACCTGCACTGTGATTGGCTAGAACCAAGCCCGTTGCATGCTGGGGCGCCAGGGCGCGCGAAGTGCAGAGAGCTCGATCTCGAGAAAGCCACATTTACGCTGGTTTCTACCTTATTTCTACGACTAATTAGCAACATCCTAGTGACGAAATGCGTACTCAAAAGAATTTTCGGAAAAAAAAAATAATAATGTACATGTGGATTTGTGGTGCCTTTGGCGTAATTTTGTTGGTCACATACAACGTAATGTAACACGGAAGTGCATGGAGTCGGAGTCGCGGCACGGCTTTCCGTCCCACTCTAAACAAAACTCCAAGGACATAACAAAACTCCCCAAAACTGGTCAATAATTAGCCATAAAAATGTTGGTGGGCACGTGTAAATATGCTGCCTTTTTTCGAGTGTTATAGGAATTTTTCGCGATGTTTTTTGCACATCCCTAACGTTACCTCACGCCCGCCGCCTATTATGCACGGCGGACCGGGGCAGTTTAATATACATGTAACGGTTACTAGTAACTTCAGATCATCTAGGATCGCATATTCGGTCGTAAAATAAGTTAACAAACAGAGAAAAACAGCAAAATAAAGTTGACAAACTATAGAAACGCTTGCCTGGGCAACAGTAACAAAGAAAATGTCGATCTAATTGATGCGCCGGTGATCGTTAAAACGTTTTAAACGTTACAAGTAAAATGCAGGCTAGATCAACGTTCCTTCCGCTGTTCCAGCGGTGCGTATCGGTAATTTCCCGCCCCGCATGAGGTAAATTAGTACTCCTCCCACTATTCCTGTGATGTTACCGCGCCTGCATATGAATGGAGAAGTCTAACGGAAAAGAAACGCGTTACTTTCGGAAAAGTAACGGAAAACTTTCAGAAAAGTAACCAGTTAATAACGGAAAACTAACGGGAAACTAGAAAGGCCGACATTTGCTTTGGAGCAAATACAGTAATGGCTTCACCACATTTTACGACATGGCAGGGAAAGAATGAGAAACACAAGGGAAAACAATGCTTTACATTGATATAACTATAGTATAAAGTAACATACAACTAAGACTACAACAGTTGGATAGCTATTCCCTACATTATTGGTTAGGATTTTTAATTGCATAATGCAAACTGTTGATTTTCAAGAAAAAGAAGCGTTCATGCCCCGCATTCCAATGCTGGAGCAGGAAAGCTTAAAATACCTACCAAAACACTTGAATACAGACCTACTGTCAGTATGGAATGGCTCTGTGCAGGTATTAATTAAGTTAAGCCTGTTAAATTCCAACAGCCAATCAGCAAGGAGAATAGAGGAAAGCTGCATGCCTATTGGTTGATGCCCTGCATTCCATTGTGATGACTCATGCCCAAATGTGGTAACACTGCACACTAACTCAGTAATACATTTGCTATAACACAGCCAAAAAACTCAAATAAAACCATTCTAAAAGCCTGTATCACAAAAATTAAAAAAACACCTGGGGGTATTTGCCTACTGTACCTCCATACCAAATTTCAGGTCCTTAGGCCCCAAAATGAAGAAGCTGAATCCATTTAAAGAAATGGCAGGAGGAGAAGAAGAAGGAGGAGAATCATGAGAAAAAGTAATATGGTTTCACCACTTTGTGGTGAACCCATAAAAAACGCGTTAGTAACGGCCGTTAGGGTAACTATAACGCGAACGGTACTGTATTTTGGTGTCATGAGCACTTTAAATTCATTTGTGTGAAAAACTAGATGTAGACAGGCAGCATATTGTTGAGATGTAGACAGGCAGCATATTGTTGCCCGTTTTATGTGTGATCCACATTTGAAGGTCGACAAAAATTACACAACTTACGGATTTAACCGAGACAAATAAGCTTTGATTTAAAGGCCAATAGCTTTCTCAATACACTGACTTTTGTTAATATCTGTCTTCAAGATGACATGTGGATGATCCGGAGACCAGACTGTAGCAGGAAGAAGGACCAGACTTTTGTCAGCAGATCTCAATCTGTGTAAAAGAAGATGGGAGGTGTGAGTATGTTTTCTTTATTAACACGAGACAACACTCCATATGCACACACTTGCACTCGCATTTCTCTTTTTTTTGCGGGGACCCATTTAACGTTAATTGTAGCCAGCGACTTAAATTCCAAGACAAGCAACGCTGAAAAATTCTTCGTATTGTATAGTTGAATGCCAAATTGCCCCAAAATTGTCACTTTGTACTCTCCAAGCAGAGGTTGTAGGGGAATGATCGTAATATTTTTATATATGGCCTTTTTTTTTCACTACCCCTACCTCTGGCTTGCCACCGAAAGGGATCTGCTTGAAGATTAGTCACTTCAATTCTCCGGCCGCATTAATTCCATGTCATCCTCTTCGTATTGTATGAATGCCAAATTGCCCTCAAAATTGTCGCTTTAGACCTTTCTTTACACTTCGATTCTCCTGCCCGGCCGCATTAATTCCATGTCACCCTCTTCATATCGTATAAATGCCAAATTGCCCTCAAAATTGTCGCTTTAGACCTTTCTTTACACTTCAATTCTCCCACCAAAAAACTTTGTATCTTAGTCGGCCGCATTAATTCCATGTCATTCTCTTCGTATAGTATGAATGCCAAATTGCCCTCAAAATTGTCACTTTAGACCTTTCTTTTACACTTCAATTGTCCCACCCAAAAACTTTGTATCTTAGTTGGCCGCATTAATTCCATGTCATCCTCTTCGTGTCGTTTGAATGCCAAATTGCCCTCAAAATTGTCGCTTTAGACCTTTCTTTACACTTAGATTCTCCCACCCGGCCGCATTAATTCCATGCCATCCTCTTCATATCGTATAAATGCCAAATTGCCCTCAAAATTGTCGCTTTAGACCTTTCTTTACACTTAGATTCTCCCACCCGGCCGCATTAATTCCATGCCATCCTCTTTGTATCGTATGAATGCCAAATTGCCTTCAAAATTGTCACTTTAGAACTTTCTTTACACTTAGATTGTCCTGCCAAAATAATTAGCATCTTACCAGCCCATATCCTGTGTTAAGCCCATTTTCCTGCAAAAAAAAAACTATTTGGGACCCTCAAAATTGTCACTTTAGACCTTTCTTTACACTTAAATTCTCCCACCAAAAAACTTTATATCTTAGCCGGCCACATTAATTCCATGTCATCCTCTTCGTATCATATGAATGCCAAATTGCCCTCAAAATTGTCGCTTTAGACCTTTCTTTACTACTTAAATTCTCCTGCCAAAAAATAGGG